GTACAACAAACTATGACGATCAGGAGTTTTGTGGACGGTAATAACATTCACTTGATCAAATGCACTTCGTCTGTAGTGAGAGGGGTCAAAAGCAATCTCGGTCAAAACCGCCCCATTGCCAGCGCTCAGTAAGCTTTGTTAACGATGAAGAATCATCCACCCAGACGGGTATGGTCACTGTTAACAAGAGCTACCTTCGTCTTCACGCCGTCGTTAATGCTTAATGCACTGGAACCGAAGCAAGAGAGAAACTATAGAAATAGATCCATCGAGCACAGTTGCACTATCTGTGGGAAAAAAACTTGGCACCGGAGCCAAGACAGAACGGGCCCTCCAGCCGAAACGGCACAAACCCTTTGGCACCCCAGCATGGGATCGGTCCTCCCCATGTCAGGAGGCTTCCATCATCTGACAATGTGCTCAGCCGTGACGGTCGCTTCTTCTTTGGAGCGGGCGTAGTAGCCTGCGTCATGTTTAAAGCGTTCAATAAATTGGTCTGTAACCTGGATGGCTTTTTTGGGTGTCATCGCCTCCATGCATTCTCGAGCGAGAACGATGCCGAGTTTTGTTTTTTCAACCCCGAACCGTTCGCGGCATTCCAAGGTGACGTAGACCTGGGAGTAGGAGCCGACGCAGCATCGTTTGCCGGCATCTTTTAGTCGTTGGCGAATTTTCTCAACGAGTTGCGTTGTGAGTGTGGGAGAAAGGCGATACGTTTTGAGAAGTTCGTGAAGCGGGATAAGGCAGCCGCGTTGGCTTAGTTCCTGAAGTGCTATCACAGTCTCGGTATCCGACAGGGGCTTTCCTTTCCATGGGTGCCACGTCTTGGCCGGTGGCAACGCCACAGTTCCAAGACCCCGCACTTCGGCGTCCGCCTTTACCTGCTCCACAGCCTCCTTAGTAACTGGCGACAAACAAACACTGGACCCGTCGGATTGAACTCCGTCCGCCAGAGCCCGCACTCTAGCGGGTGCCCGTAGGTCCGTTTTATCCTGCGGTGTACACTCCGGACACAGACCCCCTTTCAGCCATTTCACAACCGCCACGCGATGTTCATCATTGAGTCCCAGTCGCGGCCGACATACCCCGCGCCATTGCTGCGTGCAGATCTGTCGCGCTTCATTCATGCACAGTTCCGCCCGGCTGAAACGCGCCCGTAGTGCGTACAGGGCTCGCATATCCTCCTCCTTGCTTTTCTGTAAATTGGCTGCTGGCAATTTGGCTGTGGCGTAGTGCTGCCACAGAGCCTTCACATCATCCGGAATCTCCGCATCCGGAATCTCTGCATCCGGCAAGTCCGCATCCGGCAAGTCCGCACCCGGCAAGTCCGCATCCGGCAAGTCCGGACAGGACACGTATCTTGCCAACTGTGACAACACGTGCTCCACTAATAACGCCCGGTTCATCTCCACTCCCGCGGCGGTCGTGATCGTCTCGGTGGTGGTCGTCTCGGTCGTGGTTGCCTCGGTCGTGGTCGTCTCGGTGGTGGTCGTCTCGGTCCTGGTCGTCTCGGTGGTGGTCGTCTGTGTGGTGATCGTCTGTGTCGTGGTCGCCTCCGGATACTTGATGTAGTCTGGGTCGATTTTCACTTGTATTCTCGCTTGGGTTTCAGGAAATTGAATCTGGTCCACGAAACGTAGAACCAGGTTCTCATTCTCAGTAAGCTGAGTCAAGCACTTCAGACCAATGCAGATAAAGGCAGAAGGTGTCATCCGGTGCTCTAAACCCCAGTCGAGTCGAATACAATTTTCGAGCGCAGGCGGCAATTTCAGGTCCTCATCTTGACTTGCAGTTCTAGCCGCCGAGAACGTGTCCGCAAACACACTTTGAGTTCCCAAATTAACGCACGGACTTCCACAACTCAACAAACTGACCGATAACGTCACACCCAACGAAGGAACCTCTTCAATTAACGATGCCCAACAACCTCTCATAAACAAACAAATAAATTAGTCGCCCATCATGAATTTGGTACACGCATATTCGACATGGACCCCGCTATAATGCAGTCGCAGCGACGCGAGTTGCGTTCATGAGCCTGTTTTCTCTGTCAGTCGACCCCACGCCACGCTCGCACACACTCGCACACACTCGCTCACACAGTATTATGTTCGCACACGCGCTATGGGAATTATAAAATACGTCCAGTTGAAAAAACATTAGGCCTTCGACCAAAAGCTTGACGGACTACAGGCCCTTACATTCCCGTGTACCATCGGCTTGACGACGGATAGTACGCGCAGCCCGCGTGCAATTTGACGAGGTTTAGGAAGCTGTCGGTAACTAGTTGTGCCTGTTTTTTGGACTTGGCCTTCATGCATTCTGGATTGAGAACGATATGGAGTTTCGTGGGAGAGTCGATATCCGGAGTGCGGCATTCCAAGCTGACATAGACCTGGTCGTAGGAGCCCACGCACCAGTTGTCAGATTTGTGGAAGAGGGAGTGATTGTCGGCTCGTTTGAGGAGTGATCGTATTTGCTTTTGAAGATCGTCGAAAAGCTTCGGGGCAAGACGATATACACGGAGCAGGTCGTACAATTTAATGAGGTAGCCGCTGTAGAGGCGCTGCTGGATTGCGCGTTCCGTGTCGGAGTCGCTGAGTGAGGAGCCGGACATGGTCCGCCAGGTCTTTGACAGGCCGATCCAGCCGGTGGTGAGACCTCTGTCGTGAGCTTGACGACGGATTTCTTTGGCGCCCAGTGCGGCCACCCGGATCCAATTACGACTGTCGACGTTGTGGATGCTCGACGACGATTCCACCTTTAACTTTTCCAATCTAAGGGGCACATCAAGGTCCGTCAAAACCTGCGGCCGGCAGTCCACACACGTCCGGGAGCTGCCTTTGGTAGGGAGCACAGCTATCTGACGATGTTTCCGTCCCAGCCAGGGACGGCACGCATTGCGCCAGTTTAGCTGATGGTACGCGAAACTGGGGTCCGCTGCCAGATACGCTTGGGCGAATTGTTCGTGCATCTGTTTCAAGCTGTCCGGTACCGCCCATGTCTGCGACGGTGTATGGTCAAATAGTTGTGCGGCGAAATCACGCCAAAGCGGATATGCCCCCTCGCGGTAAGACGGAAGCTCGCTCCGGGTCTTATGGCCGGTATAAGTCGCCAACCTGCACAAGACCTGATGAGCCATAAATACTCGCGAACCCTCCGCCTCCCGCCTGGTGTAATCGCGCCATCTCGGATCTATGTGAACCGTGATTTTTGGGCAGCGTTGACGGAAATAAATCTGGTCCACGGAAGCCAAAATGAGGCTTTTATCCTTATCCAGTAGTTCAAGACATTGCAGAGCAATCGACAGATATACCATCGACGTCACCAAATGCTCCCCTCCCCAGTCCAGACGGAACGAGTCCGCAGGCAAGGATGGAACGCCGTCTCTGCACGGCAGGTGCGCAAAGACACCACCACTTTCCAAAGTACGGCATCCCTCCGCTGCGGCTGCTAGCAACGCCAACGCCACTGTGACAGATACTGTCTTAGCAGACGACCCCTCGCAACCTCTCATCGAGAATGGAAAAAAAAAATAATTCCCCCTCAGGTACAAACCGACAATGATATTCTGAACCGCATGTTTGCAGTCAGCATGAATCTCCAGATCACCAGAGGGGGAAAGAGGGGTAGTGCGAGGGCACGGTACTGCCCATCTCCCCTCCTCCGGTTTGCTTTTTGTTTCGACCCAACCGGGGGAGGGGAGATGGGCGAAACCTGGGCTTGGGCTCGCGGGACGGGATGGGCGCGAACTTCCCGGCGGCGGTTCTCCAACCTGTAGTCATCAGGACTAGAGTAATGCGCAACTTCTAACACCTTTCGTGACGGTAAAAAGGAGATTCGATTGCTGCATTAGCGATAGTATTCTGGCCGGGTCGTGGGTAAGCAGGATGGACCTTTCTAATTGCAGTAGCACCCTTCAATACCGTCGGTTCGATCGAGTTCGAGATCGCACGCACATTCATTTGTGTGTTCGCGACTGTGTAAAAAAACCCACATTGTTCTGATGTTGATATTGTCATCGAACACATGCAGACACTTTGATTTATAGGTGTGGCGTCAATCAACTGGGCCCTTAGACGATCCTGGACAGGCCCGATTTATTCATCAAATTAATAAGGTGGTATGAAGTGTGTGGGAAGCAGGTTGGCTGTGTCCACGTCGGAGGTGGTTGCAGTAACGTTGGCGTTTACGGCGCCGGATGCGTGGCAAGGGGGTCGGGATCGTGGGAGGAGGTCGATAACGTTGACAGCAATTTGCAATTCGCATGTGAAGGTAGGTATGGCGCCGCCAGAGGTGGACTTGAGAGCGTTCGTGCCTATGGAATCACAGCGGGAGGAACGAACTCCCGCTCGTCCGGTCGGCGGTGGCGGTGACGAGTTTTCAAGGGATGCATCTTCGCGGGAAGAGGAGGCATCCCGACAACAAGAGTTGTTGGGGGAGCAGTTGCGGTTACAAGAAGCAAACTTGCAGGAGATGCGTGACCAGGAGATGCGGATGCAAGAACTCAGCAGACAGTTACAAGCCGAGAGGGAAGAACTGGAGCTACTGCGAAGACAGCCGCTGCAACCTGAGGAACCCGACGTCCAACCAGATGAAGAGACGGCGCCCGCCAAACCGTCTTTTTTGAGGCGGTGCGTAAACCTGCTCGCCTGTGGGGCCGGGAAGAAACGTTCTGAATCGGAGGAGGCACACGCAGAGGGAGACCCGCAGGAACACAACAGCGACGAAGACAGCGAAGGCCCAGACGTCCACGATCTAAGACCAGTCGGCAATGCCGACTGGGTCAACTCTCGCACACCCCGTATCACGTAAATCGGCTCCTTCCACAACCCTGGAGTTGTGTGAGTAACACACGGCGAATTCACGACCAAAACCTTACCCAGTTGGTCAGTCAAACAAGATCAAATAAACAAGGTCAAGTTGGTAAGGTAAACAACGTCGAATACTTCGCTGGAATTACTTACGTATCTCCAGCTGGCATGTGCGAACCCGCTGGTCGAGTTTTTTGAAATCGAAATGGACGAACAGCTTTGCAATGTCGGAAGAAAGGTCACTGTGTTAGGTTACTGTGTTGGGCTGGGGGGCCGGAATGTTGGTACTCGCCGTGGCAGGAGAGTCGTTCCCTCGTCGTAGCTTTGGGTCTGTGGTGGGCTTAACGGTTGCGTCTTGGTAGGGTAGTTCCCGCAAACTGTTGTAGGCCCAAGAGAGCAGAGGTTTATTCATAAACTGCGCCAGCTAAACCACCTACAGGCATTATGCTACGTAAGCATTATGCCACGTAAGCATTATGCTACGTAAGCATTATGCCACGTAAGCATTATGCTTACGTGGTTGCTGAAGCCAAGCTACTCAGTCACGTGCCTGAGAAAGCTTTTTCCTGGCGACCCAACGGCCACGCAGCAAAGATAGCGCCAAGTAAGTTTTTATCTTTTCTGTTGGGGTTCAGCTGGACTCACCTTCAAGCTTCAGTCCCCTAACGCTCATAATCATCATCCTTCAAGCCATCCTTGTTGTGGACCAGCCTTCAGTCAGTCACGCGCCCTCTTCTCAAAACGAATGACTGCAACCTCGTGGGAGTGCAACCTCGTGGGAGTGTAACCTTACATGAGTGCGTTTGGTCGAGTTTTTTTTCAGCGGCGATAT